ATGAATTGAAATTCAGCAATTTTAAGAATGCATACTCTTACATTGTCACATACTGTAGAGAAAGTTACATCACTGAAATTTCCAGAAAAGTTGAGGTTAAAAGCTGGTACATTTTGTTTATTTAGCATTGACATACTAGCATTGATGCAGAAGAATAACCAGAGAATGACATTTTCCTATGCAAGGAAAATGCTCTTTTATTGAACAAAGTAGAAAAACCTGATATATAACTACAAAAATAATGAGGAAGATCACCTAAAGTGGGGAAGGGTGGGGGGGTACATGCAGGCAAAACTTTGACAGCCAGTATCCTTCTCTCTAATTGTCTAAATGAATCCAGCTCTCTAAATGATTAGCTGAATTATGCTCCCTGTTTGGCTAGCAGTATCCTGCTGTCTGACTGGCTAGCTGAATCTTGCTCTATGTTTGGTTAGCTGAATCCTGTTTTGATTGGCTAGTCCCTAGGTTCAATTCCGGCCAGGTGACCAGGCTCCTTTCTGTGTGGAGTTTGCATGATCTCCCCATCTGCGGGGGTTTTCTCCGGGTACTTGGGTTTTCCTCCCACAGTCAAAAGACATGCAGTCAGGCTGATTGGACATGCTAAATTGGCCCTAGGTGTGAATGTGTGAGTGAATGTATATGTCTGTGTGTCTGCCCTGTGATGGACTGGTGACCTTTCCAGGGTGTATCCTGCCTTCTGCCCATTGTGCTGGGATAGGCTCCAGCACCCATCCCCATCCCCTGGAGACCAATATCCTGCAACTGTGCAACTGTCTTCTAGTATTCCGTTCTCTGATTGGCTAGCTGAATACTGCTCTCTGATTCATTCCAAGTGTCCTGTTTTCTGATTGGCTGCCAATATCCTGCATTCTGATTGGCAAGCTGAATACAATTCTTTGATTGACTAACTGAATTCTACTGTTAGATTGGCTGCCATTGTTGTACTCGTTAGTATTCTTTCCCATCTGATTGAAGAGGCCATGATTTCCATCACGAAAAGTGCTCCTCATCAAACAGCAGGGCAGACAAGTTGATAACATACAGCCAATGCCATGGGGGAGGTTTCCACCAGTCACACACTTCACCCTCACAGTGAACTATGCGCACACACACACACACACATACGTTCAGCATCCCAGACACAATAGCAATAACAGTCATTTTAAGCAGGGCATGCACCTGACATGAGACTCATGCTGCATGCATGGCCACGCTACCCAAACTTTGCATAGGCAGTGTCAGCAAATAACTTTAGTCCTTGCCTCGGGTTGCATTCATGCCACCGCGGCCCCTCCTGAGCATGGCAGAGCTCCACATAGTGTCCTATGTCAAGTCCCATGCAGCTGGGTATGACGACAAGAGTAGTAATCCACCAGGCCATGTTTCACTCTCTCTGCTGCCCACTGCGCTTTCGATGATGACACGATTACCACTTGTGCATGTTGGGGCCCTCAAGCAACTTTTACTACCCTCCATGCCTAGCTGTGTGTGGAATGGATAGAAGTAAAACCACATGTGTCCACTGGCAAGGTGCTCCAAGCGAGTTGATAAGGCCTCAGTTTATGCAAGAGCTGTTGAACCAAGTGTTGGAGGAACCAGTGCCCAGTAAACACGTCTGACACTGTGCATCCAGCATTAAACAGAGCTGGGCATATGCATGGGGCAGCTGGCATGGGGCACTTTGACCCTGCAAAACCCTGAAGTGGCTATGGCATGGATTCTACTGGCTGGTCTGCTGTCCAGGCATTAATCTCAACCAAAAACCTTACCTTCATTCTTGTTCTAAAAATGATTCTGGTATTAAGGAACATCACATCCATTTGTGCTTGTTGAACATCTTGTTCTAAATCCATTGGCAGTAATATGGAATTAGTCCCCTCTGCAGCACTCCACAGAACCAGTATCCTCCTCTGTAAATGGCTAGATGAATCCTGCTCTCTGATTGCCTGCTAGTATACTGCATTCTGATTGGCCAGCTGATTACTGTTCTTTGCTTTGTTGTCATTATCCTGCACTGCGATTGGCTACCAGTATCCTGAATTCTGATTGACATACTGAATCCAATTTTTCAATTGACTACGTGAATCCTACTCTCTGGTTGGCTGCCAATATATGCCTACTAACTGGCAGGGTTGGGATAGCTACTGTAAAATTAGTAGTTAGCTACTTTGTAGCTACTTTCCCAAAATTTGTAGCTAGCTACAATTTTTTTGAAAAGTAGTGCACTACTTTTTAGCTACTTTCAAAGAAAGATTGTCGGAATATTTGTGTATCTCCACCTGACACACCAAACAAGCCCAACTGATAATGTGAACAAGACACTGCATTTAGTCATGAGCCAGAAAGAAACATACAATTGAAAGCTGCAAATATACAAAAATATCACCAAAAATTGAGTTTAAGAGTAACCAACAAGCAAACCTTTTGAAAGACTTGCATTGTGCTGCTCCACCCTCAGAGTGGCGGCTTTGTGAGGCATTTTAGCCAGATGCTCACCACTCAACTCACCATTGTCACCGGCCAGGACAAGCATGATTGGTACCAAGACCTACCCCTGGTCCTGCTCGCATGCCACTCCACTGTGCATCAATCAACTGGTCTCACCCCAGCTTTTCTGATATTTGGTCATAAGCTCAGGGTGGCCACAGAACAGGTGTTCGACTGCCCACGAGGGTGAGAAAAGGACAGTGCACCAGGAGCTGGGTATGCCAAGGAGCTCTGCCACTATGTACCTTTCTGCCCTGGTGTTTAAGAAAGAGCATAGCATTGTGTTGCCTCCCTTTCTGCCTCAACATCAGCTGCTTGAAGGCTGGTCAGTGTGGCAAGCTGTACATGCCTTCTCAGTCCTTCAGGCAGCAGCACGTTCAGGAAATGCTACATTACCAACTCCTATTGCCCCACCTTTCAAACCCTGGGTACGCCTGCCAAACTATCATGCTCACCTCTGCCATCAGCATTTTAATCTGCTCTCCCTTTAGTCTTTGTCTGTCTAGGAGTAGTTTCCTGAGCAATGGCACTGCCAGCACCTGCCCAAAACAAGCCTCGAGAGCCATGGCCAATGCCACTAGGTGATTATGGTGTTCTGCCAGCAGGTCCACAAACACCTTTTGAACTTTTCCTTCCAGTGCCAGATAGTTGTATTTTGATAATGGCTATAATCCATCCATGATGTCGGGTGACAACATGCAGCTGTGTGGAGTATAGCTCCCAAAAACAGCAACATTTATTGATTGATTGATTGCTTGATTGATTGATTGAAGGGGGTGGGGTGGTGCAAGCAGGTACAACTTTGCATGCCATGACCCTTGAACTCCCATTGAAATACAGAGCCTGTGGAATACCACACTTGTTTTCTCCATGCATTTAATATTGATTTACACTGAGTTTTTTAGTCAAGAAAAGAAGTCATTTTATACGTTGATCATATGTGCATTGGGGGAATAAAATATATGGAAGACTACTTGCTTAATGGAATTGTATGAATACTACAATAGAACACATATTTTTTTTATTAATAATTTAAATTCAAAGAAAAAAATGTGCTCTGACAAAAAATAGTAAGTAACTTAAAATTATGAACTGAAAAGCAGTGGATTCACAATGATACATAATGCTCGTTCTTCAGCTCATTTTTCTTCAGCACTGGAAAAAATGATGTAGCTTTCAAGCTAAAATAAAAGAAGAAATTTGGTTAGATTGAAATTTTGTGGTCAAAGTACTTTTAATATTAAGTTAACTGAAAGAGAATTTCTGTTGAGAAAGTGTTCTGTTAAGTTCAATGAACTTCAATTTTAAAAGCTCTGTCATTTTATTACATTGCTTAAGCCTATAAAATTAATAGTTATTAATATTAAACTTAATATCATGGTTATATATAAAACTATGTTGTCCTGTAATGAAGTCAATTGAAAATGACACTATTTTATGAAATGTTAAAATGTATTTTAGCTTAGCCTCAGTGACAACTTCCAATACACCAGGGACACAAATACAAAAGTTAAGTTCATCACTGCAGTTACAATTCAAGCCATAACCACGCCTCCTGAATCCGACCTCACACCGACAGAGCATCATAAGAAGCAAGCTATTTAAAAGGCAGATACCCTGGCTTTCAGAGGGCTGAGCACTAACGAGCATACAATGCAGCTCATTTCAAGTCTGATGACAATGTTATCAATGCTGTGGATAACTGGGCCCAGACAGGCAGCGTGTAATGCTAGCCTGGTCAGGTGCAGGCTGTGGGCTAATCCTCAGATATCCGGTCTTTCAATGAATGGAGATTTTATAATTGGAGGGATTTTTGCTATTCATTTCACCACTACGTCTCAGCAGAACAGCTACACCAGGCAGCCACTCCAACTGCAGTGCTCTGGGAGGTCTGTCTGTGAGTGGGAAGTTTAAAGTTGCAGTGAGCATTACAGTGAAATTATAATGACTACATTTTGACTTTATTTCAGTCATACGCTACTTACTGAGTTAGTGACTTCTGAAGGAATTCTCTAATTCTCTCAATAACTCAAATTCTGTGTTTTTTTTGTCTGTTTTCTCTGTTTCTGAACAGTATGTATTTCAGGGGCCTGCACTTCGCCCGTGCCATGGAGTTCACAATCCACGAGATCAACAACAGAACAGATCTCCTGCCGGGAATCACGTTAGGATACCAGATACACGACTCGTGCGGTGCAGTGCCGATGGCTGTTAAAGTTGCATTTCAGTTTGCAAACGGCATGGAACCATTTTTCAATGATACTGATTCCTGTTCAAAATCTGCAGCTGCAGCTGTTCCTGCTCTCGTGGGAGAATCCACTTCTACTTCTACAATGAGTATGACTAGAATGCTGGGTCTTTTTGGAATTCCACAGGTGATTGTAAGCTGCACCAATTCTGATTGTAATTGTTTGTATTTGGTAATAGCTGACGGCATTTTTATATACAAGGCGCGATAATTCAATCAACGGTTCCTTCTGTTTATCTTCTTCTTTCTCTGTACTCACTAACAGGTGAGTCACTACGCAACCTGCGCATGTCTGAGCGATAAGCGTCAGTATCCTGCCTTCTTCAGGACCGTGCCTAGTGACCACCACCAGGCGGCCGCACTAGCAAAAATAGTCAAGCATTTCGGCTGGACATGGATTGGGGCAGTGCGCAGCGACTCAGACTATGGAAATTATGGAATGGCCTTGTTTCTAAAGGCTGCGCAGGAGGAGGGCATCTGTGTGGAGTACTCCGAGTCCTACTACAGAACACAACCGCGCAGTAAACTGGAGAGAGTGGCAAACGTCATCCGCAGATCAACAGCCCGGGTAATAGTAGCGTTTCTTGCTTCAGGCGACATGAAGTTTCTGTTGGAAGAACTGGCAAGACAGCCTCCGCCTCCCCTTCAGTGGATCGGCACCGAGGCGTGGATCATAGATCCAGATATTCGGAGCTTTAACATGTGCGCTGGGGCGATAGGTTTTGGCATCCCCAACGCAGTGATTCCAGGTCTTCGTGAGTTTCTTCTGGACCTCTCTTCAGAACAGGCATTACAAACTCCTCTGCTAAGGGAGTTTTGGGAGAGCTCATTCAGCTGTAGTCTAGAAGGCTCCTCAGGGGGCTCGCGGGAATGTGACGGCAGTGAGGATATTCGCGCGCTGCAGAACCCATATACAGACACGTCGCAGCTTCGCGCGACTAACATGGTGTACAAAGCTACGTATGCCATAGCGCATGCCATCCACGGTGTTATCTGTAATGACACGCAGTGCGACAAGAGCGCTAAATTCACACCATGGCAGGTATAAAACTAATACACTTAAAAACAGCTCCCTAGCTTGCCTTATACGTTGAATGAGTGTGAGTGTATTGTAAAATTTGTGTATATTAAATGCATTAACCCGTGTATGTTAAGTTGTCTATTTGGTTTGTTCTATCGTTCTGCAGGTAAAAACGATTCGTTGGTATTTTGTCTAATATTTTAAATCACCTGGTTTCGTGAGAAACAACAGTGTCAAAGCCTTTTCGTGACACATGAAGGTGTCAGTTTTCTTCAAATCATTCCGAAATATAAAAACGAATTTCACTGAACCTCTCAGAGTTAGTGCTTCTTCCTTCGAGATATTTCTTCAAGAAATCATTTATGGAGTTTTCACGTAATGGCATCTTTTGTTTCTGTTCTACCACTGACAAAAACGTTTTGTTCGTAATACGAAAATATAAGAAATTTCTGAATTAATTTATTATAAGAAATTGTTTGTTACAAGAAACTGTTTTATTTGCAACGTGTTTTTAATTTCCAAATTTACAATCATTTTTGATACAAGATAATATGTACAATACACTATAAAAAGTCAATGTGTTTTTACAGTTAAAACTGAAAAACAGCAGTCGGAATTGTGACCTTTCCTAACAACATTGTTCAACATCTATGAATACACTGACCTAATATGTTATTTTTCTTGTACAATTTCACAAAAACTGACAAAACAAACTTTTTTTAAAAAAACAGTTTTCTACTGGTTAATTCTGGAATAGTAAAAGTAATAAATCTACGTCACTTTTCTTTGCTTGATTTTTATTTTGAGCTCGTCTATAATGTTTCAAAGACACCATTTCTCACCACAATGGTGAAATCATCCACATATTTCTTGTGGATGTGTCACCATGTTCATATTCGTCAATTATAAATAGGTATTTTTAGTGATTAATTCACAAAAATGATCACCGTTCAAAATCATAGTTCTGTTCAAAGTTTTTCGTTTTTTGTATTCCACTGCAGATTCTCGACCAGCTCAAAAGAGTGAACTTCACAACAAATAATGGTTTTCAGGTCTCCTTTGATTCCTATGGTGATCCTGTGGCCGTCTACGATCTCATAAACTGGCAGGTTAAGAAAGACGGTACTATAGATTTCATTACTGTGGGCCACTATGACTCATCCAAACCAAGAGGCCAAGAGTTCAGTATGAGCAGAGCTATCATCTGGGTGGGGGGACGGACCGAGGTACAGTACCACATGTAGTCTTTGACTGTCAATGTAAACTCTCAATGTAAAATTGAGGCAATCAATTACTTAAATAACTGCCTAAAATGTCTTAAAATATTTTCAGCTTATACAGCTCAACATATTCCCTTTACTAATTAACGAAGTTCATATAATTAAAAGTTTACAGAAATTATAACTATTTTGTGTTGATGATTGCCTTAACTGAATGTAGTTATTTAAGGCACTAATTAAAAAGAGAACAATTGCATGACATTAATTCTGTGCATTACTACGAACATTTGATTAATGACAGCAGTACATGAACACTGATATCAAAGAACTCTATACTGCTAGCTGAATGTTCAGTGAACAATAGACCACAATACAATCAGTATCACAGAGGATTTCATTGCTTCTGTGTGCTAATTACATGTCGAAATACATGCCATATCCATTGTTTGCCTTTTTACCAGTAATACAGACTGGACTGGTAAACTGCAAAACAAATTATGATCAGTGGTAAATATATAAATTACAGGTAATAAACATTAAACGTAATTTTTGCATTTGATAAACCCTGATAGAAAATGAGAAAAATACAAACTTTTTAATAGAAACCAACAACAGCTAAGGTGACTGATACATCAGATGGAAAATGTATGTATAAATCACTGAAGCATCAATTAATCTTTCGTAGACAGTTCTTCTTACTGAAAGGCACAAAAGTGACATTTCATAAACTCAATGACTTTCTGACATTTCTCTTTGTATAATGTCTTTCAGGTGCCACGATCTGTGTGCAGTGAGAGCTGTCCTCCAGGAACCAGGAAGGCTGTACAGAAAGGAAAGCCAGTCTGCTGCTATGACTGTATACCATGTGCAGAAGGAGAGATCAGCAACAAGACAGGTTGGGTATCATAATAAAGTGGGCAGTTTCAGTGGGAACAGTCATAGTTTAGTTGTTTTCATTCTCTTGTGGTTAATTTCAATATAAGGATTTTTATATTCTTTTGAAATCTCTAAGATTCTCTGAACTGTTTGGGCTGCCCTCCTGAGTCCTGGCCCAACATCCAGCGAGACAGCTGCCTCCCTAAACCTGTGGAGTTCCTGTCCTGGGACGACACTCTGAGCATCATCCTGACAGCATTCTCCATCACTGGGGCCTTCATAGCTTTATGTGTGACTGCTGTCTTCTACAAACACAGAACTTCTCCCATCGTCCGAGCCAACAACTCAGAGCTGAGCTTCCTGCTGCTCTTCTCACTGACTCTGTGTTTCCTCTGCTCACTTACTTTCATTGGTCAGCCCTCTGAGTGGTCCTGTATGCTGCGTCACACAACATTTGGGATCACCTTCGTCCTCTGCATCTCCTGTGTTCTGGGGAAAACAATAGTGGTGTTAATGGCCTTCAGAGCTACACTTCCAGGCAGTAATGCCATGAAATGGTTTGGGCCTCCACAGCAGAGACTCAGTGTTCTCACCTTCACTCTCATACAGGTCCTTATTTGTGTTCTTTGGTTGACAATATCTCCTCCTCTCCCCTTCAAAAATCTACAGCAATACAAGGAAAGGATAATACTGGAATGTGGATTAGGTTCAGCTATAGGTTTCTGGGCTGTGCTGGGTTATATAGGATTTCTGGCTCTTTTGTGTTTTATTTTGGCTTTTCTAGCACGGAAACTGCCTGATAACTTTAATGAAGCCAAGTTCATCACATTCAGCATGCTCATATTCTGTGCAGTTTGGGTAACCTTTATCCCAGCTTATGTCAGCTCTCCTGGAAAGTTCACTGTAGCTGTGGAGATATTTGCTATTCTGGCCTCAAGCATTGGTTTGTTTTTTTGTATTTTTGCTCCCAAGTGTTTCATAATCATGTTTAGACCGGAGCAAAATACCAAGAAACACCTTATGGGTAAAACACCCTCCAAGCCTCTTTGAGAGGCGTACATGTCACACTATGATTTAGCACTGTATATAAAATGTGCTGTTTAATGATGAGGTTTATATTTACTTAATGGCTTCACCAACACATTTTTAAAATTAAATTATATTTTAAGTGAAGTGTTCAAATATACCTAACATTGCTTTCACGGAATTTCATGCCTTGTTTCTCCCTTTTTTCCGACAGCAAAGAAAAGTAAGCTTTTTATGTTTATTATTTAAATTGTAGTAAATAATAGTGTATAAACTGCCTTTCAGCAGTTTTAGATACTAGTTCTACAACCCGATTTCTAAATAAAAGTTTTTTGAGAAACATTTTCCCATTTTGAATTTGATGCCAACAACACATTCCAAAAAAATTAGGAAGGGGATGACAAAAGGCTTATAAAGTTATGTAATACTAAAAAAACATCTGGTGGTTGATTGACAACAGGTCAGTATCATGACTGGGTATAAAAAGAGCATCCCAGAGAGGCTGAGTCTTTCAGAAGTAAAGATGAGGAGGGGTTCACCACTCTGTGAAAGGCTGCACAAGCAAATAGTCAAACAATCCAAGTATAACGTCTCTGAATGTAAAATATCAACGATCTTTTGCTTTTCATCATCTACAGTACATATTATCAATATTAAAAGATTTAGAGAATTCTGGGAAATCTCTGTACGTAAGGGACAAGGCCAAAAGCCAGTATTTGCTGGCCCTGATCTTTGGGCCCTCATGTGGCGCTGCATTAAAAACAGACATGATTCTGTAGTGGAAATCATTGCATGGGCTTAGAAACACTTCTGAAAACCTCTGTCTGTGAAAACAGTCGCTGAATCCACAAATGCAAGTTAAAACTCTAAAACTCAAATAAGTAATCACATAAGCAGGATCAAGAAACACAGCCACCTTCTCTGGGCCCGAGCTCATTTAAAATGGACTGAGGGGGAGTGGAAAAGTGTCCTGTGGTCTGACAAATCAACATTTGAAATTCTTTTTGGAAATTACACTGTGTCCTCTGGGCTTAAGACCACTCAGCTTGTTATCAGTGCACAGTTCAAAAGCCAGTATTCATGATGGTACACTGAAAAAAAAATGTTTTTGCTTCAACTAAATAATAATAAGCAATGTTGAAAACCAGTAAACTAAACATATGAAACACGCTTAAAATGAATTAGAAATAATTATGTTGTGTCAAGGGGTAGACACTGCCCACGCACATGCACAACTTTTTCCGAGCTGAAAGCAGCCATTTTCTACACCTCGTCTCTGGGAAGATTTGGATTGGAGAAAATTCTGTCATCTGGCATTCACAATGTAGGAGATTGTATATTGTTTATTGTTTGTCATTATGGACATCTAACATATTCATGACATTTACGCAGAAAAATCTAGGCAAAAACGTAAGGTTAAGGGAGGACTTAGCATGGCTTAAAATTCGCTAGCTTAGCTAACTTAGCCTGCTAGCCAGTTTAGTTTAAACCGACGCAGATATAAAGTACACATAACGATACTCAGTCAGATAATCACTAAACTTACTAAAGCTGACCGCAGTGTTTTAATTGTAAAGGTGAGAGTTTTAATATAGTGTGTCCTTCATAAGTATCTATCATGGTGAGGTCCTCACTAAGTTTGCTCATGAACACAACCATTAGCTAACGTTACTGTCGAACTAGCCTGCTAGCTAGCCTAGCTAGCTAAGTAACGGCGCCATTTTCTGAAGTTCACTGCAGACGAGTGCGTTTAGCTGCTGTGTCATCGTACAAGTACACGGTAAAATATTGTTTAGATGGCTGTAGATGCACACAACACAGTGTTGGATATAACGTTGATGAAAACGTACAGTTAAGGGACGACTAGCCTAGTATAAGTTTGTGAGGGGCTCAATTCAACGCATATTGGAAGTAAACAGACCTAGCTGGCGTTAGCTAGTTGTGTGTCCTTGATGTGACCTGTGATAATCTTCTCCCGCGGAGGAGGCTGTGCTCGCTTCGCCTGTGATTTTGGATGTGATATTTGGGTACTAGGTGTCCACAAACCTGTGTAATTTCAGCCTTAGTTAGCTAGCTAGCTAGCTCCACTGAACCTGGAGTTTGGATATGGAGCCTGCTAATGCTATTGTAGCTAGCGTTAGCTTAGCAAACATAGCATTAGCAGCTAATAGGTTACAGACATCAGCTAACTGGTTTAATTCCAACGTTTATCCATTTAACACTTAATGCTCTGTTCGATGAACCCAGTTTGCAATGTACTGTTTCAACATGGACTCTGATACCATTAGCGCAGCTAGCTCACGTTAGTTAGCTAAGCAAATGTTAGTGTTAGCAGCTAACTGGCCAGCTTAGCTAGTAGGCTACAAGCACCACGAAGCAGGTTTAAGATTAATTTCAGCTTTCTGTTCCTTCAACACCATCGCTCGACTTTGCTCTATCAGAATTGTCAGTGGAGATTCACTTTGGCATAATAGAATCCGTTATCTTGTTAATTAGCAAGCTAATGCTAACTGTTCAGCCCTGTAGTGGAAAAGAGGTTTATGTTTGGCCTATAAGAGCAGAGTGTCATTAATCATTATTATAATCAGAATATTATTTTGTATATAAGATGGTGCACACACACACACACACACACACACTCACACATGTATTTTGCTTATGTGGCTCCCCTGTCATTGTTACCAAAATCGGGTTTTCCTTATGTTTAGTCAAACTGCATTTATGTTAAACATCATGGTCTTCAAATGCCAAGTGGTAGAAGTAATTATTATACATTGATTTTGATGCTCAATAATGCACAAACCCTAGACAGGGAATCCTGATAGCCATATTGATTAAAAGAACATTGATGTGACTTAAATATCATAATTGGTTTCAAACTAAAATAGTGTTCACAGGATTAAACCAAATAGCTAAATATGAGTAAAATAATATATATTATTGTAAGACTATTAAATTATAGCCAAAATAACGCACTGTTATGTCCTTCCACATGGTGAGATAAAATATTAAGGTAAAGCGATAAAACATTAAAGTAAATTAATCTGGGCCATTACTTAAGACTTAATTAATTGTGATTAAAGGCACACGTTTAAGTGAATGTGTTTATAATTGCAGTGTTCTGTTTGAAGCTTGTTGTTGTATGTAAAGTTACATTTTAGCTTGTGTTGCCTGCAAGACAAGCCATAATGTATTGATTATTTATTATATTATTTTGTAGGTGTTTAAATAGATGGAACATTAATAAGTGTAGCTGAAGTTTAATTTGTGAAAATTAACATTTAAAATTGTACATTAATAAATGCTCTGTGATATAATTAAGCTGTTGTACATAATAAACAATGAGTATCTATTTGGAAATACATCAAAATTTAATAGTTTTACTGGAAAGTTATTTAACAATCTACATAATTTAATGAAATAGCATGAACATGATCAAATTTAGTTAAAATTACACCAAGGAAATTTTACAAAATATAATTAAGCTGACAAAACTTACAAGCAATGAGTAAATGTCATCAGAAAGGCATCAAATTTGAGTTGTTTTAACTAAAAAAAAGTTATCTACAATCTACATAATTTGCTTAAGTAGAAAGAACATGATTCATTTTAGTTAAAGTTACTGAAGTTATTGAAGTAAATCCTGCAAAATATAGTTAAGTTGACATTGCTTATAGATAATGAGTAAATGTTACTCAAATTATATATCTGAATGTAGATAATTTAATTTCGTACAACAGTTTGACGAAAAAAATTTAAGTAAATTCAAAGAGTCATTTTTTTGAGTGTATAGGGGGGCATTAGTGCACATAGCATGGATAAAGTGCACATCTGTAAAGGCACCATTAATGCTGAACGATATATACATGTTTTGGCAAAATATGCTGCCATCCAGATGATGTCTTTTCCGTGGAAGGCCTTGCTTATTTCAGCAAGACAGTGCAAAACCACATTCTGCATTACAACAGCATAGCTCTGCATTAAAAGAGTCCTGGTCCTAAACTGGCCTGTCTGTAGTGCAGACCTGTCACCACTGATAACATTTGGGGTATTATGAAATGAAAAATACGACAAATGAGCCCCAGAACTATTCAGCAGCTGAAATTCTATATCAAACAAGAACAGGAAAACATTTCACTTTCAAAACTACAGCAGTTGGTCTCCTCAGTTCCCAAACGTTTAACGAGTGTTGTTAAAAGAAGAGGTGATGCAACACAGTGGTAAACATGTCCCCGTCCCAACATAGCAAACGTATTGCTTCCATCAAATTCAAAATGGGCATATATTTTTCAGAAAACAATACAATTTCTCAGTTTCAACATTTGATTTGTTGTCTTTGTACTATTTTCAAAGAAATATAAGGTTTAAATGATCTGCACATCATTGCATTTTGTTTTTATTTACATTTCGCACGAAGTTCCAACTTTTTTGGAAATGGGGATGTACATCAGAATGAAATGCTTATAATCGCTTTTACAGTCTATTGCTTATTACATGCAATATTAAACCAGTAATGGGAGACCTCTATCTAATCAAGACTTGGTGGTTGGCCCTCTCTCTCTCCCCATTACTCAGTATCAATGCTACCCTAAGTACCTGCTCTGATCACACATGCCAGGCCTTATCACTCAACATGTGCTCAACATCTCTAATGCCCTTGGGGCTCAATAAGCAAATGCCTGCAACAATATTCCATCCAAAATCTATCAGAAAGTGCCAATTCCTTTACCCCAGCGATAGGAAAGCCCCCTGTAAATGCTTTTTAATTGCTTATCTTCCATTTGACTTACATTCTATTAATACCTATTAAATTGACCAACCTTGACCAAATCTCATCTGAAACCCTAACCTTTAAACCTTCAAAACCTGTTACGAATACTAATCCTAACACTAATTTCACACTGTGGTCAGTATTACTACATGTTAAGGCTTAGGATAAGAATGATGCTTAAGTTTACGTTATTGATTGATGTTAAAGTAAAGGTTATAATAAATTTAGGTAAATTACATAGACAATTTTTAGA